AGATCATGAAAAAAATGCATGTGCATATGTCCCATATAATGTGTGATGTATGAGTGAAGTTTGAACATAATCGGTCCATGCATGTTCGAGATACAGGTGATCACGGACGGACGGACGGACGGACGGACGGACGGACGCACACAGGGCAAAACATAAGTCCCCGTTTTCGGACTCCGTCCGAACGGGGACTAATAAAAAACAAAACTGTTTCTTTGATGACGAAACACTAAGACAAAGGATGTCAGCTGCAAAGAATTCAATATTTTCACACAATTTTCACAATTTTATTGTTAAAATACTAGTACTTTATTTTAGTGAAATTAATTTACCCTGAAAAAAAAATGTTGGCTTTGTATGAAGTTTATTTTCACTGATGTTTGATGATTTTAATGTAAAATATAGGAGAAATTGTATTTTTTATTTTCACTAATTCACTCGCTCAGCAAAAAAAAAAAAAGAGAAAAAATTCCAAGTATTAAAATAAAGTAATAGTAAGCAATATTTCAATGACCTACATGTAGCATACAATAAATGTAAGTTTTGGTGTATAGTGCAAACTCACCCTCAATATTCTGTTAAAATCGTCTTTATCGACTCGTAAAAAGTGACAGTTATCTTCTCGGAGTACAATTGATGCTGCTCTTGGAGCGTCATTGACTAGCGCAAGTTTACCAAAGTCATCCCCTTCATGTAATGTACAGACCACTCCTTTACCATATATGACCACGTTAACGGAACCTCGTAGAATTATATACCAGGATTTTCCTTCATCTCCTTGGTTGAACACTGCAAATAGACGTCATATTGCGTATTAAGATTATGCAATAATGACAGACACTTCCATGACGTATAAATGACGTAGATGGGTGTATGAAATAGACAACTATGATTGGTTGTGTAGTCGCGTATCATCTACAATCTATAATAAATCTATTTTAATGATCAGCTACTATAGACGAAAACAATGCGTGTTTACATCGCAGAAGCAGCTTGCTGCTCAAGGGCATGACATAATAGGATGGAGTACCATACATTAGATGTTTGCCATATTGCTTATCATTATAATGTTTTACTTAGTTTCCGCACTGTACTCATCAGATACTCACATGGTTACTAAAAATACCCCATTGTAATTACTATGACATTTTAAAATGCGAAAAGGTACATTGTCTAAAAATTATGTATCAACCATTTAAGCACTATCAATTTTTCCGTCAATATTTTTATGCAACATTTTATGTATTTTCAAGTACTTTTCTTAATATTTTTTTTTTAATTTTCGACAAATTTTTCTAGTGGTCTTGATTTAAATTTTGAAAAAAAATGTACCATATTTTATTTTGTGATGAAATTTGAGTTTGGTGCTCAAGACTTAAACGTGTTGTTATTTATGATTCAACTTACAGACAGTTCCGGCTTTCTGATGTGATTCAAACTTGAGTACACTTGCTAGTTCTCTTTTCACCATGGTTGACAGATGTGATAATGCTTTAATATGGAGTAGCTCTTCATATATAATCTCCAGGTCGTCTACAGTTCTTTCAGGAGGTCTACGTAATATAGTTGTATTTGTCAATAACACAAACTGGTATAAATAAAGATTATTTTATAACTAGCATTTTATACAATTTTTACCCTTTATTTTTCCCAACCAAAATTCAGGGCAAATATTTTGTAAAATTGTCACTAAACATCATCACTATTTTATTTTGTGGATGGTGCCAAAAATTGAAAATGCCAAAAGATAGAATAATGACTGTACATACAGTTGAACAGATTTTAAATACTGTAAAATACTTAATTTTAGCTGGAATTAATTTTCGTTGGAAAGGCATTTTGGGTGTTTTGTATGAAATTTGTTTTCACTGATTTTTGATGAGTTGAAAGTGAAATATAGGGAAAAAAGTATAATCGCTGGATTTTATTTTCACGGAATCATCCTTTCAGCGAAAATAAATTCCAAGCGAAAATAAAGTATTCTACAGTAATCTGTGAAAAAATGAATTAATCGTCTCAGTATGGTCATAACAATGTTGTTGTTTTTTAATCACCATGCATCTACCGGTACATGCTTTTGTATGGGTTGCTTTGAAATGACATCATTTATAGTGACTTTTTGAATTTAAATATGCTTACTGATTTGAGCATTACTGTATACGGTTTAGGAATAGTTTTTTATTGCTTATTTCACTAACAGCTAAATGCGCTAAACTCTAATCCAGTGAATACACAATTTTAATCAGATTATAACACTTATTTACTTCATAAACGATTAAATTTTAAAACCTTATGAATATATTATCAAATCTGCTAAAAGCTTCCCTCTATTGTTTGCTGACAAAAGATAAAAGTTACCATACATTCTCAAATTTATACATTCTCAAATTTATACATTCTCAAATTTATACATTCTCAAATTCAGGGATGATTACATTTCGAATTTTCATATTATTGAAAACTAGAGTAAAAAATTGTTGGATTTTCTAGGGTTAAACAACTCAATGTCTGATAAGTTATAAAATATATCTTGTACGTGTGCTATGTGAACTGTGAACTTATGCCCTCAATGCTCCAATTCAAGAATGAAGTGTTCATTGTGGCTAGTCTAAGTAAATAGGTTAAACCATGTTTTATCAAAGAGCAATTATAAAAAACGTACAAAAGCAATCATGCGCAGTGGTATGTTAACAACCAAACTCTTTCACCCATGTACTCAAACACTATACAGAGTTTGATAAAACTGTATACACCATATACACCAAAAAATGCCACCTAAATAAAATCCACATCCATCTAAGAAGTTGTAAAGAACGTGAACCATATTGACATTTATTGTATTGCATCCAAAATATCACGCCGAACTGTAGATTACGGACTGAGTATTCACAAGTAACCCAAACTCATTCCTTCACATTTCATAATCACTATGTTTCAAGAAAACCACCCAACCAACTAAATTAAACTGCTTGTATAGTAACACCCAAAATCAGGAATAAATAATAAGCAATCATCTCGGCAACAAATAAGCTACAAAAACTTATTGTATTTGCTCTGTCAGAAGCACATGCTTGTGTATATACCACATTTTTAGGTTAACCTATTCCCCATCAGACTTTCCCGCCCAAATTTTTTGGTACTTTTATATATATATCAATATATCTGGAAGTGAACCCTAATTTTGGAGCAATTGGAGTCAATTTTCAGTTTTTACTCAAAAAATTGTTCTCTTCTGGAGGAAAGTGCAGACAGGAAAACATAAACAGGATTATTTTATAAATTTGTGATGAAACGAGGAAACGAGGAAACCTATGGTGGAAAGCTTAACATGCTGTGAACTGCTACTGGTTGGCTGAATAATTTTATCACACTCTGAAGATCCGTCTTTCCTAAAATATAAGTAGTTTACAGTAATTATTCTATTAGCTGCACCACCTGATTTTTGCTATTGCGATAAAGACAATAATTTGTTTGTTTTTTCTTCTAACACCAAAGAATATGTTTCTCATGGAAGATTAAATTTTACCTCACATTTTTGTTTCAAAAATATTCATTTTTTATATTTTCACTTATGGTAAAACAAGTGAGCTGATGATCAAATTAGCTTCGCTGTTTCAGCAGAGCCTTGAGTGTTCCCCTAAAACAGAGAAGGAACTAATCTAATAGAGGTTCATCCAAGGCTCTTGTCAAGTATCAAAGCAATTGGACTTCTTTCAAGAAGAAGTCAACAATAACATTTTTGGTTATCAATGACAAAAAAATTTGCTAAAAATAGAATATATCTTTACGAAATAAAAAAATCAGACAAAGGTCCACCCAAGGTACCAAGGTACATACTAGGTTTCAAATTTAAAGTAATTGAAGTGGTAGTTTTCAAGATGAAGTAAAAAAAAATCATTTTTTACCACAAATGAAAAAAATATTCACCAAAAATATATCCTCACAAACTGAACAAATCTGATAGAAGTCCACCCAAGGTACCTACATACCAAGTATCAAAGCAATTGAGCTAGTAGTTTTCATTTGTTATCACTTAAAATAGGAAGTGAGTACTATCAAAATCAACATTTCAGTAAATTTAATACTGTGTCAAAATATAATTTTTATGATCTCGGTCCAATTAATGTTAGGATTCTGGTAACTATGTTTGCAGACATTTGTAGGTCTTTGTAGTTCCTGGTGTGAATATATTCTCTGTGGGATTGTGTTCTCTATCTAGTCATGATACAGGACTAAGGCATTGATAACACTGCCCTCAGCTAGCTATTTTATAAATTACTTTGTTTTGTTTTCTGAAAGTCAATCCAGTTATAACTTGAGATTATTAAAATCTGTCATGAACAATTTTTATAAGCAATTGTCAGCGTATATCAAATTAAGTGCAGGTGAGCACTCTGTAGTGATATCTGAGTATTGGGTCAAAAGGGTCTGTACATGTCTATCTTGTCAGTCTTAATTATGTATGTCTTGAATGAACCCACACGTCATTATTTCAGTTATAGAATATAGCAGAAAATCTGTTGAAAATTAATTGCTTTTCCTCAAGCTAGATTTGATTTTCAGTATGAGGTGAGAGTATTTTTTTTGTTTTGATAAGCAGTCGCATGTTGGGATTTTTTTTCAATAAATATAGTTTTTTTCCCTTTTTTGGGCTTTACACATTACAGTCCCCCCCCCTCATTTCTGATTGTCAATCCCTTAGAAATGTAAATACATATTCAAGCATTAGTATAATACAACTGATTATCACAGTGCATAGCTTTTAAATTTAGTAGAATGCAGAAAAACCCCAACTTACCCTACATGATGCTTCTTTTGTTTTTATTTTGATATCTAGAAATGTTCCCTCAAAGGCGAATTTGACATTTCCTTTGTTTTGTTTTTGCAAATCACAGCGCTTATTGACATCCTACCAAAAAAATCTATCCCATACTTATCATTGGCAGCACAAAATATATAATTTGCATAATTTTTTTGTCCCATCCCCTCTGAGTTTATAATGGTTAACCTTCTTCATAATGATTGACAATATAACTGAACTCACGGTTTTCTCAAAATCATTCTCATCATCGCATCAGGGCTGATTTGTGCTAACATAACGAGCGTATCTTGCAACTCATCTTCGCATTCTTTTTTCTCGTTATTTGTAGGCACTGTTCCAATGCCAAGGTCATCTTCTCGGAATCGATAGAATAAATATTTGTCCTTAAACTGATGTTCATGGCATACTGAAAATAATGAAATTTAGTAATAAATATAACTTTAGGAATTAATAAAAATGGATTAATAAATACCACCAAAAAAAAAGAAATCTACATAATTTATTATACAATAATAAAAGAAATAAAATATATTACTGTCCATTCAGAAATATGAAATATGGTTATGGAAATATAAGTGACATAATAATGAATGTTGTATTTTTGAATGTTTGGGATATGTATACTATACCGGTACATTTGAGAATATTTGTTTTGATAATACCAGTTTGGTATAAAATAAGCCAAATTAAACCAAACATTACAAAAGAAAACATAAACATTATATTTAAACCATAATAAAACACTCATACGCTTATGACTACTATTTTTAATATACTATTTAACTTACTGACTAAATTGTTATTGGTTTGCTTTCCATTTATGTGTATATAGTATATTATTAAATCATAACACCCAATGTATTTAAGTAGACAATGTACCGGTAGTAATGTTCCTGACTGATATCAGATGACAATTTAACCAAGTGAAATATCCTAGCTGGAGGCATTCAATACATTTAGTGAAAACTACTGCATACTGATGAGTACATACCATGTGTTATGACTCCTTCTTCCAAAAGTGCCTGCCACATGCCGACTGCCTGATTCCGTGAATGAACAAATGAGCTCTGCTGTACAAGCCAATCGACCATCTCTGAACCGACTAAACATCGGCGGTAAGTACGCAAGTGGTATTTACGATCACGAATCATGTGTGGGGATCGAGTCAAGATAACAGAACGAATGACGTAACCTGCTCGGGCAAGTCGTTCTGATGGGGTCTAAAGATAAGACAGAGAAGTGAAATAACTTTTACTTCATAATGATTACTATCAAATCTAATGCGCTTTCCATGTAAGTATGACCTCTGATGTCTAGAGAGGAACGATCCTTATCAACAGCACGGGTAAAATAAAATCTTTCATTTGTGTAACGCGGATCATGCAATCACACGCACAAACTATTGCATTTATCCAGTAACGAAAAAAAAAAAGATTTAAAAATTTTATAGTATAGAATTTTTACATTTTTTCCCCATGCATTTTAGTCCACTACAATAATGGCCTATACATGTAGTCATGGTGGCTGGTTTATCTATCTCAAATCTCACATACTCTGCTATGACTTCACAAGAATCAAGAGAGACAAAATACTCTCCAGTTAATACTTGATCAACAATGCTCAAGTTGGCAGCATTTCAAATCAAATTCGATCACCGTACATATGCGATATTTATAAAAGTCTATAAAAGACCTCTAGAAGTGCATGTACTCTAGACTAATTTTGATTAGAGCCATGGCATCAGTGAGTTGATGAGAAAGCTGATATACATGTAGCTATAAATAAATTAGGGATATTTAAACAGGAGGCTAAACTTAAAGTGGGAGGGTCATCACCTGCGCACACGTGGGAATTGAGTCCCAAGTGACGATAACAACACACGCTAAAAACACAAAAGCTCATGGTAGACACTTGTTTGTAAACAATGACACGCTACGGCCATCTGGCGCATGCGCAGGTGACGACTCCCCCGCTTTAAGAATAATACGTGGAAGGAGACAATACAATTTAAACTTACATCTGTAAGAGGTAGGGCTGGATGCTGTGCACCGAAACCATCTTCACCGTGTGGCTTGGGGGACTGAAAAATCAACATAGAATTGAGAAGACTGTGAACAGAGCAGCCATTGGCTCAATCAGGACATGTGACCAGATACTATGTTCATGTGATGATCACACGGTGCACAGGTGACTATATTTACACATCAAATACAGATGATCAGCACTGACAGAGAGTCACTAAGAACACAAGTTAGATACATTAGTGATTGGCAGTCAAAGAACAGAGCAAACTACAGGCAGACAAAGAGACAGACAACTTCACATCCAACTTCATTTATGTTATAATCTTCTCAACAAAAAATATTATGATTGTCTCTACATTTTCTTTTTTCTTGCATCTCATCAAATGTTCATAGATTATTTGAATTAGTTAATTATACTTGGCTTGGCTATATGGGTAACAAACTGTAGCATACTAATCTTAAAGCGCTGTGAATAATAGTGTCTGTTTTTTGTTGACAGCGGTCCAAGTCACGATACATTTCGAGAGCATGCATTAAGATGCACTGAATAAATCAACAAAATGATAGTCACAGGAGTCCAGAATTCTGAACTAGATGTGGATGTAGATTAGGGACAGACACATAAATCATTTGTACGAATTCCTGGCAATCAGAGTTATGATAACGTTGCTTTATGAGTCTAAATTAGTATGCACATGTTATGTTAACTCAATTAAACATACTGACTGTGACTCTGGCTATTCTGATGTTGTAACCATGGTGACCAGGCGGGTCTTTTAGGAGCAATAATTAGCATATTAACACATTACATCCAAGTGCTGTATCGCAGGCATTGCAAGTACAGTGCCAGTTTCTAAACACTTTAGAGTTTAAGAAAAGACAATAATGAAGTACACCTAAAGTTTCTATTTGTCATGTCTTTGACCTTTGACCTTTGACATTTAACCCCAATGTAAATTTTTGTCACAATAAAACATGCGCAATTTCGTTATTTTGTCAAAACCTGACATCAACAAGAAAATAGGTTCATCTGGTCTATGAAATAAATAGAGAAAAAAAAAAAAAAAATTTGCAAAATATTTAAATTTTGGTCGGAAAATGATGGAACTCAAAAGGTTAACAAATTAATATTCCCCAAAAACGAATTTTTGGTCACCAGCTTTAAAATTAAAACTTAAGCTGATCCAATATTCAAACTTTGGTCTTGTGTTTGTTTGTTTGTTTGTTTGTTTTTATCAGAAGCCTAGATGGGGAAAAGAATCTTTGAACACTTTATAGAATTATTCACTACTGTCTTTCCTTAAGAAGAAAAAAATGGCTGTGAAAGAAAAAGCTAAAATGCACTGTGTGAGAAGAAGTGGTTGATCCAGTGAAAGAACTGTTTGACAGTACAATGTAACATGCACATCCATTCTTTGAGTTGGGTCTGATAACAATTACATGTAGATACATAAATAAGTACAGAAGGAAACATTGATTCTGATCAAGTTACTTGAGAGAAACGCAATGATAATGAAGGTGTATAAGACACTCAAAGATGGATACGGCGAACACACATTAAGGTAGATGCCTACTCATGATTTCAAAAAACCCGGAATTTCTTAATTTTTTAATATATTGTACTTCCAGGCAATATAAGAATATTGACTTTGAAAAAAATGGGGGTCACCAGGTTAATTTACGAGAAACTCATGGTTGTATTTTAGTGGATAGCGGCCATTTTGGCAGTATTATAGTGCTTTTACCATAGGTTCCTATGGCAGAGATATTATGCCATATCTCAAATTGTAGGCTGGTGACATAGGCTGAAAAAATAATATATTGTTAATGATGGCCTACTTTTTGTTTTCCTGAATTTTTTCAAAAATCTGGGTTTTAAAAAGTGTTGAAAAATGCAATTTTTGTTTAACATTGCGCTCTATGGAATTGTTCTAAAAATAGCTATTTTTGAAAAAATTTAGTACAAGTTTCTCAAAATACGTCACTGTAACACACAATAGAATGCTATTTTATGGTGCCATGGGACAATAGCTTCATGATTTTACATAGTAAACCAATGAACACTGTCATGTGATTTATGACAAAATTTCTCAAAAAATATGAGTAAGCTTCTACCTTAAACTAAGAGATTAAAGTAAAATTTGACAAATTGTTTCAACTGAAATAATTTTTGAATTATAAAAATTAGTTAGGTACTGCATTTGTTTATTTGAAGTGCTTCTACAATAGAAATGCACACAAACCCAAATTTGTATTTATTGTCTACTGTATCATTTAAATAATACATATTTTGTCCATTTTAGTATTTGCACAGAGAAAATACGGTACCCATTCTTTTCATCACTTTGGTAAATCAAGCCTTCCACTCAGCAAACTATCATGAATTATTTGTAGTTCTGTTTTTTCAAATTTCCTGCAAATGTTTTAACAAGTTGGCTGTGTCCATCATTATCATTATCACGGCTTGATATTGTAAAACCAAACAAATCACAACCAAATGTCAGCACAGACGAACTAGTCTCAAATGTGTTAGAATATTTTTTCCTATTTTTAAATGTAAAGCATATTTCTGCTTGAAATATGTAATTTAATATACATGTAATCAATTGTATCAGACCAAAACAGCTCATAATCTCATAATAGCATTGTTGATGCTACTAGAAATCTAAGACGACCAACACAGAAAGGATTATTTTGTTGAGAAAGAAGTGAATCTATTATTACAGTGTGTTTACAAAGTGACATACAGTGTGTGTGTGTGTAGAAGGTTTTCTACATCTATCTATAATTTAGTATTTGAGAGTGGGTAAGTCAATATCATATCTGTTATTGTTCAAGCAATATTGGGAGTGTTAATATCATATTTGTTAGGTCAATATCATATCTGTTATTGTTCAAGCAATATTGGGAGGATCGGTATCATATCTGTTAGGTCAATATCATATCTGTTATTGTTCAAACAATATTGGGAGGGTCAATATCATATCTGTTAGGTCAATATCATATCTGTTCAAGCCATATTGGGAGGGTCAATATCATATCTGTTATTGTTCAAGCAATATTGGGAAGTTCAATATCATATCTGTTAGGTCAATATCATATCTGTTATTGTTCAAGCAATATTGGGAAGTTCAATATCATATCTGTTATTGTTAAAGCAATATTGGCAGTGTCGATATCATATCTGTTAGGTCCATATCATATCTGTTAGGTCCATATCATATCTATTATTGTTCAATCCTTATTAGGAGGGTCAATATCATATATGTTACGTCAAAATTATATCTGTTATTGTTAAAGCCATACTGAGAGGGTCGATATCATATCTGTTAGGTCATTATCATATCTGTTATTGTTCAATCCTTATTAGGAGGGTCAATATCATATCTGTTAGGTTCATAACATATTTGTTATTGTTCAATATTTAATTTGTTAACGTTCAGTCAATACTGCGGAATACTCGCTGGAATAAATTTTCACTGAAAATGCTTTTTGGGTGTTTTGTATGGAATTTATTTTCACTGATTTTTGATGTGTTGAATGTGAAATATAGGAAAAAAAGTATATTCGCTGGATTTTATTTTCACAGAATCATCCCTTTGTGAAAATAGCGAAAATAAATTCCAAGCGAAAATTCTAGCATTCTACAGTAGTATACCTGGTATGATAATAATAATAATTTTTAGTACTGAACAGTGCATACATTCAGTAATGTCTGTGTTTTCATGGCAGTTATATTTACAGAGGTGTTTTTTAATGAAGTTTACATCCTGTGTATAAAAATTAAATCATGCCAAAGCTGTGTTGAGTAAACGTTAAATTGTCCTCCTAAATAACAGACAATTATTAGTGATTATACCCTCTCTCAAATCCATCAATAATTCTCAGTAAACTGTCACTACGTCTACGTCTACAAACGACCTCCAATGTTAACACTGAGGAACAGAACTGTGGCAGAAAAACGCTATGAAATAAAATGTCACAAACAGAGAAAAAAAACAATACTGTAACAGTTTAAAAAACGCATATGGTGCAGTTAGAAAACTAGTGCTGGTGGGTTAGTGGGTGGATAGGTGAGTGGATGGGCAGGCAGCTGTGACAACCAATGATTAATACATGCATGCACACCAATGATGTGAACTGAACAGGAAAGGTGGGGGGAGAAAAGCAAGAGCACAGCCAGTATAGAGGAGAATATAATCAGCTGCCATACCCTCTGGAGTGGAAAATTAGTAAGGGATATGCAGGCATCAAAAGAAGATAATAAAACAGGGAAACTGCAAACACCAGTACCCATCTAGTTTAACACAGACCAGCTGTGCTCTTACCAAATAAATAGCAACTCTGTAAGAACCCTGATTATTGGGTGTAGGAGTGATGGTAGTTGTCAACCGACGCCCTCTAGTGGCAGGAGGAGGAGGAGGTTTGTGCTTGATCAGCTAAAGTATACAATATTTCGTGCATGCACGTAGTACAACGTACATTTATGCAAGTTGTAGAAATAGAAAAAAAAAATGAAGAGTAATGAAATGAGTTATAGTAAGAGTTTTAATCTGCGAATCCGACGGTGTACAATCCTCAGCTGAAAGTTAAAACAAGCAACATCAACATATGACAAAGGTGAGAGATTTCATTGGACGATTTCAAGATCAGCATGTAGATATTATAAAGAGCTCGTAATTAAAGTCATGGGACAAATACTAGAGCGTAATTTGTCCAAGACTTGATTTTAATTTTTTTTTATTCAAGTGCATGGAAACGAATAATACACATGTTTCTATCAAAGTCTTCATGAATGTAAAAGCATTAATTTTCACTCGTCTGGTATTAAATTTCACTATTTCGATACTTTCACTCTATTTGAAATTGATGAATTTATTAGTGAAACAACGAGTTCTATTGTAATTTTACATTCTTCTCATGAATTTGAATTTTAGAGCAAAAATAGTAAAATTTAAAATCATTGAATTTTAGAGCAAAAATAGTAAAATTTAAAATCATTGAATAATTAATGGATTCACAGTATTCAGCAACATGGTGACTTGAGAGAATACTGGACATTTAACTGCACTATTAAACCTTGTATAAGTACACATATTTGAATTAATATAGTGCCTACAAACAGCTAACAAATACATAGGTCGTCTAACAATAAATCTGAGATTCTAATGATTGTATAGATCTTGTTGGGAGTGAGAAACCACAAGACTTGTTTTCATCCCCCACAAATCATGTTCCATTTTCTCCCACTGTTGACCCACTTTTCCTCTGATCTATATAAGCATGGAAACGCATACATGTGTAGATGTGATGGCAAGAAAAAAATTGAATACTATTTGAGGAGAAAAAAACAAGTCTTGGTGTTCATTTGTAACTAATATCAAATATATATTGCCTGTTAAGAAAACTCATCAATTAGGCAAGCGGTAATTAAAAATACTGTATTGTATTGTTATTTTTCTTTCAATATTTTCAATCAAATCCAAAAAAAAACACAGACCTCCTTTCACATAGTGTTTTTTTATTATTATTTGGACTTATTTGTCTGAAATAAATAAATAACAACAACATGGCTAACAAATTTACGAAAATCTTTTATTTTGGTGATTAGCACTAACATATACATTCAGTGTTTATTTTATGCAAGAAATTTTTTGAATACCGGTATTTAAATTTCACTCTCAAAAGTCTGATGCAGATCTCCAAGATTCTCCAAAAGATCAGTGAACAAATGACGATATATTCATCAACATTCAGGGGCAATATTGAAAACTTTTAGAAAAATGTGTTTTCTTTACATTGCATACTTGTCCAAATTGGTACTATATTAATTATTAGAGAGCAATTTAACTAAAAATAACCGCTGTTTTCTGTAATGCATTACTAGTAATTTACAATTGCCTGTTCTGTTACCTTCATGGTTGCTTGCAATTGGCCGAAAAGTTCTGTAGAATGCATAATTTATGCAAATAAGGTAATCTACATACAAGATGTTAAAATATATTTTGCATATATTTTCTTAACTGCTGATTGAAAGTCTCAATATTGATTGCCTAACTGTACTTACCTGTGACAGCTTTGGTATTATTTCTAGGCTTTCGTTGAGACTATCACGGGATATCAACGCCGGCGACCCACGATCCAACGAATATGCACGTCTAGGAGTAATTGGAGACCCTGTAATTTCTGTATAGAACACAACAGTTTTAAACAATATTCATTCCACATTACCATATATCTTTTTTAAATATATGAAAGGGTTTGTTTGTTTCCCACGACTAGTAGTGCATATGTAGTAGTGCATAAATGATGGAGCCATTTTTTATGTTGAAAAATAATTTATAGGTATTATTTTGGTTTATGTGTGTTTTTAACACATATGGTAAATATGCAAATATGGTAGATAAAATATTCAGTACATTGAAAACAATGTGTTTGTAAAAGAGTTACAGATCCCATTTATAAAATGTCTTCACTATAGTGGAACTTACTCACAAGTTGTCTTTCTCACGTAAAAGAAATGCAAAATAATGAAGAGATTTGGGCAAAAAAAAAAAAAAAAAATTACCACCCACACATACATTTACATGACTTCCTGACAGTTCCTGTTAATAATGAAAGAAGTGTGTACTTTATAAACCAACGTTTTGACCAATCATGACCAAGGCTATTTGCATAATACATGTGACCCCCAACAGGAAAGTACAAATGTAGGAGATCACTAAAAAACAATAATGTATAATAATAATAATGTATGGTAATTTTTATCTCCATTGGAACTTTTTAAAAATGTGAACGACTGTATAGAGCCAACATTACCCTATTGAAGACCAATTTTTCCCACCAAAATGTTATGTCAAAATTTTATGTATATTTTTATTTCTTCATTAATTTTAGACCAAATGGAATAATTTCATATTAGCGACAGGTCTTGAACAGAATTTGAAAAAAAAAATTAAAATTTTATGTATATTTCTAAAATTTCTTCGTTAATTTTAGACCAAATGTACATAATTTCATATTAGCGACGGGTCTTGAACAGAATTTGAAAAAAAAAATTAAAATTTTATGTTTATTTCTAAAATTTCTTCGTTAATTTTAGACCAAATGTACATATTTTCATATTAGCGACAGGTCTTGAACAGAATTTGAAAAAAATATAGAAAAATTTACTTGGGTTTATTTTTTACTGACACACACTTTCGCATCAAACTAGTTAAAAATATTCAATATTTTTTACCAGGCAAAAGTTCTGAATGCAGCAGTGAATCTTGGCTTTGATAATATAGGATTCATTTGGGAGTTACCAATAAGTGCAACAACCAAGATAATCATGCATATGATTCAGTGATTGGTTGTAAATACTTCCAAGATGTGTGTATTTCAACAGGTAGCTGAAAGTCACATTTTCTCTAGATTTCATCATTGAGAATTCTTCTTTGCCATCGCTAGAACCACCTCGAACTGGCCTTAAATTCAAAGTCGTCACATCTGAGTTGCTTGGCGAGGATGCGTGCTTTGCATTGGGTGATGGGACCAGAGAGTGGAGTTCGCACAGACCGTTCTTGAAGAAACCATACGTAAACATGCAGCTTTATCGATGTCATCGTTGTCGAATAATTTCGCACGTTTTCTGTTCAGTTCAGCTAGATCACGTGCAACCTTTGACTTGCTTTCAATTTTCTCGATACGGTCGTTCGTTGCGAGTTTATGGCGTATGGACAGACTGAATAGCTTTCGCTTAGACATGCTGCTCAGTTGAGAAATAGAGATCAGAGTGATGAATTCAACTCATTGTTGCGAGTTTGATAGAGGTATACCAAAGAGGGGACCGGCCGAGAAAGATGTACGGTCGACACCCCTGTTGACACCTTGAGTAAGGCCGCCGTCTCCCTTTGTATCTCAGTAATTAACACTTAATGCAACGAAACATTAGTCTTTGTATTTCAAACTGCCGTCAAAACACATTAGACATTTTGGGAGCCATCCAAGTACCCGCAACTTGGCCGAATCGCGACTTACCGAGGTACGACTTACCAAGGGGTCACTGTATTTGTTTTAACTACAAATTTTATAATAAAAGTGTCAGATTTTTTTTTTCAAAATAGTTCTGGCTCCTGGAAAATCCACCAAGCAGTATTCATCTTCATAAAATTGTTCTACAGTTTTGCTGATCACATCCTGGGTCTTATGACTTTCACAGGTTATCTTCTATTATCTTCTATTTCCAACGCGTAAATTATATATATGTACATTTACAGTTAATTCTTAGATATAAACTGCTATTTTGTAAGGTTCAAGCTTCATTACCGCTTCTCGCTAGCAATTAACAGAGCATCAGCGTCAAATAAAACGATGACATGTCACCTCTTGTGGCATGAATGGTAAATTAGAGCACCACAATTGCTGGACAAGACACATTCACCCATCTACTGTGCAGTCTGTGAGTATCTTAACCCTTATCATGTTGAAAGCAACATTGTTATAAAAAATTTCAAGTTCAACTAAAATGAGATTTATTTAACAGCATATTAAGATTTTAGAAAGCGAACTAAACCAGCTTTTAAGCCTGTTAAAGCTAGCTAAATATTAAGTCATGCTTGGTCGGTTTGCTATGATTGCTTGCAGGGTATCTAAGCTGCTGATGGATTACATCATGGTATATTCATGATGTGAAAATTACAAGATTTATCAGGACGACAGCCAAACCATAATCTTACACGTAAACTAAGGAAGCTACAATGTATCATGAATATCAAGTTGCGTAAAAATACACCTGTATAGACATAGATATGTATGCATGATTTATCGGTTCTGCAATAAATTAGCATTTATTGAATGCCCAGTACAGTCTGGAATCTCTAGATGTACTGTAAAATACGTAATTTTCGCTGGGAATTAATTTTCGTTATTTTCGCTGAAGGAATGATTCAGTGAAAATAAAATCCAGTGAATATAGCTATATTTAACATTCAATTCATCCAAAATCAGGGGGAAAATAAATTCCATACAAAACACCCAAAAAGTCTTTTCAGGGAAAATTAATTCTAACTAAAATAAAGTATTTCACAGTAAATTAACTTCCAACATGGTTATTAGCTGGCTTGTGCTTTTTATAAAAAGTATTTATAATTTTACAATTTTTTAAAGTGAGTATCATTGTTATCAGTAATTTCAACTTATTATGTGGTAGTTGTTACCTAGGTTACTAATATGAGACATATTCTAACAAATTATTCTGCATAGTTTAGATACATGTATGAAGTTGTTGAAAGCAAGCTGAGTGAGTTTTAACCTTTTTAACCATCATTCACAAAATAATCCCGTTTAAATTCTTCACTTTCTTTCAGAAAATTGGAACAAAAATATCCAAATTTTTTTTAGTAAAAACTGAAAATAGACTCAACTTTTGTCTGTTGGCTTCAAAATTAGAGTTCATTTCTAGAAATATTGAAGAATATAAGAAAAAAGTACAAGAAAGTCTGGTGGTGAAAAGGCTAGGCTAGCTAAATGAACCGTACTGTACTCATTCAGGAGTTGACCATTAGATTTGGGCGTGAATTTGAAAAAAATGATGATTCTGACAGTAAATAATTATGTTTTTCCTAATTATTTTTTTTTTACGTTTTTTTGGTGTTCAGAATGGTACTGCATGCAATATCGCATTTTTTTGGTAAAACCTCTATACATTTTTTTCTTCAAAATGTTCTCTAAGCTGAGTTTGTTTTTCAAAATCCACCCCTCCTCCGGAGTACCTAATGGCCAACCCCTGAATAAAAGACAGAATGAATAATGTGACATAAATTTGTGTAGACAGTGATTATGGAGTACTAGTAATAAGTCTTCCTCTGAGGAATAATTTATCATGTAAAGCAAAGTAAAGTTTCAATAATTAATGATAAGTGGAGAAAAGATGAGATAAGGCAGTTAGATAAGAATTAAGATTGGAGAATGCAGAGACGAGCGTTGAGCTAGACAGCAAATATCGTGTTATATAGTCCAATAAACACGCGTCAATTGATTCCAACCATACTACGATATTTTGGAAGTGGTGTTGAGGACCATATTTGTTCTATTAAAAGTGTCCTGCACCATTAAAATAGGGCCTGGTAATAATAATAATTAAAATAATAATTTTATTAATATTCCCTGGAGCGATTGCCAATGATTACAAATGTTGAAGAAAGAATGAAAAGTTAAAATAAACCAAGCTAATACATTACACAAAGACTAAACTTTTATACTGTAAAAATATAGAAAACAAAATGCAAAACTTAAACTGTGAAAAAAGATTGTCACTGGGGTTGCTGTCTTATTTCAAAGCATTTCTATAAAGGTACCTTGCTACAGGGAGTGTTGGACCACTGTTGTTTAGCAAGGTCATAAATTGTGTCTTTGGTGAAAAATTTAAAAAATTTAGGATTTTGTTTTTTACCATTTCAAATAAAACATTTCTTTTGGGGGTATAACATTTGCATGACATCATTAGGGGAAACTCGTCATTAGGTGATAGTCACACCTCTCATTAAAGTACGTGTGATGACGTAAGTGCATGATACTTTTTCAAATGATGGATGTTTTTTTTTAGAATAATTCCTTTTGAAATTAGTTTGAAACTACTGTCGATGGCAAGATAATTTGTTGCGGCTACATCTAAATGTAAATCACCAGTGAGGTAATCTGTGCTTGCAGACCATTTTATGCAAAGCCTTGTATTTTGCTCAAAGCTATAGCGGAGAATATATCTAACACCGGATGTGAGTGGCGAACATGCTTCAAATATCAAGGTATTATCACAGTTCCCACCAAACCATGCATCGAAAGTGTGATGTGAGTGAATCGAAAAACCGGGATTAAAAAACAAAACTCAATATTTGCTCTAATTTACAGACTGATGCTGCATGTCTAGTAAAAGTGTTTGTATCGCATCTTTGTAACAGTATACATTCTTTTGGGTTGCAGATATGTAACAGGCATGTTTTGAGAGTGCTTTGAAAGTTGTCTTTTGTTTTCTATTGAAATCAACATGCTAAAATTATTTTATTCAACATTTCATCTGGAAAATGAAATGGACATTTCTGTGTTTGCGAAAACTATGATTTTTTTATATTACCTTGTTGTTGTAAGTAGGCTGTATTGCTAGGTAGTGCAGGCACTGGGTTGGAGTTAATCATTCCTTCCATAAATTGCTTGTTTCGCTACAAAAAAAAACACAAACAAAAATCTATTTAATAACCTCCTCAACTCCTGTATTTGAAAATTAGAGCATGCTACAAAACGATCAAAAGAACTCCACATTCCTATAAGAACATTGTCATGGTCAAGAAATGGACAAGAAAGTAGTCTTGTTCTGGGTGCAAGAACATGTCCACCTAACTGCAATAAAACATGTATGATTTCTTTTTCTCTGTGGATACCGGGATAAATCAGATCAAATAAATCCAACAAGTTCAAGTAGGTCTGTTTTTTTTCTTCAAAATCTGATCAGACATCCGATTTTGCGGTTTACATGATGCGATTTATGTAAACAGATCTGACCGTTATAAATTTTAAACCATCATAACAACGACACAGTAAAATTGTTATCTTCTAATGCTTCTAATCCTTCCAAAGCATGACTTGAATTTTTCAGTTGAGTCAGGATAATCTATAATAGTTCATAGATGAAGTTGTCTTCAGTGTGTGAATCCGATTGAAGAATTCATCTCAATATGATTTTAAAGGGGAACCGCTCAATCCCATGGATTGCACCAAAGAATCATGGGACACTATTGTTTATGTTGTTTACAATGTTAATCTATCTTTTGTTATCCATTGTTATTTTAATCCAGAAAGTAAATTTGTTGTGAAATTAATCTTAACTGGAAGGTGCCCCTTTAAGATGAAATATAGATGAGAAGATATAAATTTCAATTACTGTAAAATACTTTATTTTAACTGCAATTAATTTTCGCTGAAAAGACGTTTTGGGTGTTTTGTATATGGAATTTATTTTCACTGATTTTTGACGAGTTAAATGTAAAATAGAGAAAAAAAAGGTATATTCGCTGACATGGCGATAATTAATTCCAAGCGAAGGCATGAATTCATGAATTTAATGACTATTTTTGCAGCACACAACTGTATTAGTTTGATAAAACAATGCAATTTTCTGTAACATATGAGCACTAATTATGTGTATATACAATAACTAGCACTGTACATTAGTAGTTTTCCATTTTCATCAAACAAATACTGTTGCACTTGCTGCAAGAGAAACATTTTTAGTTTAAGTATATTCAATTTGGTTTTAAGCATGCAGTATCAAACTAAATATTAATAAAATACTAATTTTCATCCATATTGCATACATTGAAAATGTTAATTTTTTTTTCTATTTATTTATTTATTTAGAACCTTAAATAATAATTGATATTTTAATCATTTTTAAAAATTGGTTAGCAATGATCACAAATATTATATATATATATATATATATATATATTATATATATATATATATATATATATATATATATATATATATATATATA